AGTTTTGGTGTTCATTTCTTGAAGGCTGACTTTTGTCACTTAATTCGGTTCTTTGTAACATATCGCTGCTTTGGTTATGCAATCCATTGGATAAGTATCCTGCTGTGGGTTTTATTTTGTCACTTTCTTTGAAGCCTTTTAGCATGCTGCTGTCTGATGCATTAATACTGACATCAGCTTCTTTCTGTTTTGGACCAGGGATAGTTTTTTCCCAGAATTCTCTAATCTCCTTGATTCTTCTTTTTTCTCTAATTGCCTTCTCTGATTCACATGTCTGAGGTGGCTGCTTGTATTCTTGATGTTCTAAGAGACTTGATTTTTTACTTTCTTGCATGATTTCTTTATCAGATTCTTTTTCTTCACCTTTTCTACAGACAAATCCAGTTAGTGATTCCTCACTCTCTTTATCATTCCTTTCCCCTTGCTTAGGTTTCTTCTTCTCTCTTATCAGCTGTGTGTCTTCTCTTTGGAGAAGAGCTGCGTCTCTTCTCCAAGGAGGAGAAACACTCTTCATTTTTTCAGTCTTTCCAAACAGTGACTCTTCTGTAACTTGGGTTTTTCCATCCATGTAAGGCCCACTATGATCTGTAGCAAGAACTGCTTTTCTGCTTGAGAAGTCCATATCCTCTTTGGGTTTCCTGCCTTGCAAGCTGGCCAGTTTAGGTTTCCTATCCCCAGAACCAGAACTTCTTTTAAACCAATCTAATATTTTTGACATGGGCTCATCAGATGCTTCCACAAGTTCAGCAGCTGGTTTGTCAGGCTTGCAAGTGTTTTCAGCATCTTGTTCCTCAACAAGCTCAGGCTTACCTTGTTGAAGACCTGCAGAATCACTATTTGACACCTCACGTGCTTCTGTCTCAGCAGAAAGCAGATGTCGGTCTGCAACGTAAATAAATTTGTCAGAGTTAGGAATGGGACATTAGACTGTAAATTCATTTTAAAAATATCTTTCAGTTTTTACTCATTTGGCAGAGAAAAGAGTTCCCGGTGTTTTTGGAAGAACCATACAGCCTGCAACGAACTGGAAAAAAAAATCTTCCATTAAGATTTCCTCTTTGCAGTACAGTCCTATTACTTTCTGTGTTACGGTTGCAGGAGGATGGGAGAGATAAAGGGGAAAGAGGTTGGGTTAATCCATAACCTAAAGGAAATAGCAAAGTGGAAGGGGGCAAGTGGAAGGATGCTTGTGCTTCGTTACATGGGTAAATCCCCAAGTCACGACTGCATTACTAGCAAGTACAGTCACCAAGAAGACTCCAAAAATGCTTCAGTTCTCACGCAGACAGAACTGTCCGATCTTGAGACAGAAGTGCTGACTGAGTGCCATCATTTCACCTTCACTGTCCATGATAAACATGCCTAGCCAGGATATAATCTGATTATTAATTCTTTTTTTTTTTTAAAAAAAAGATCTTATTAACATGACTAAATGAGAGCATTAAAATATAAACAAATGGCTTAGGAAAGTAGTTCTGAAATATGTAGCACCTTCCTATTATTTCTGTTTTTCAGTTAATAATTTCTAGACCCTAATGATTTGAACACAAGTGAATTTGGACTATGTGCTTTTGCATTCTGTTCATGAATCCCATCAGTTCTCTTACCAGGAAAGCTTTTTAGTGACTTTGGTTCATTGCTTAAGAATTGCTCTGATTTATTTTCACGCATCTCATCAACGATCAGTTCTTTGTTGTTATTTGCTGGAACAGTGCTGGAAGGCTTCTCTGGAGTTTCAGGTTTCTTGGAAGGCACTATCTTTGTCTGCAAGGTTTCACTAGCCAGGAAGACTGACCTATTACTGTCAGGAGGACTGGATGCTGAGGTATCTTCTTGTAAAGCATTTATTTCATTTACTTGTAAAGTTGATGAATAAATGCCCAAAGGTTTTACAGCAGAGATTTGTTTTTTCACAAGTGAATCTGAACTAATAACATCGTTTTCACTACCCTTCACTTCATCAGTTTCTAACAAATCAAACTCCCCTATTTCTCTGCCATGATGTAGTTGTGGGCTTTGTGGAGATTCTCCTTCACCTATGCTAGAAGAGAACCTGACTTGTTTTAGTCTTTCCAGTGAAATTTGTGAGGAATCTTCCACTTCCAGAGGAGAGCTCTTCTCAGCTTCTCCTTCAAAAATAGTTGAAGTAGGAAGACCACTCTTAGTCTGAGCATCAAACATCTGATTAACACGAAGAACTTCAGAATCTGTGGAGCTTGAACTTGAACTGCGCTTCAGAATGCCCCTAGCTGGTGCACCATTAACCCTGCCAGTCCTTTTAGCTGGTTCTGGAACAACGTGTTCTCTTTGTGACATCGGATCTGTGGCTTTCTGAATTAATTTTCTAGCTTTTGGGACAGGAGGCTTAACTGGACTTCTCTGTGATTGATTAGTAGGTTCTACACAAGACTTCTTAGGCTTCTCCATTTCGTTGTTTAGTAAGTTTGCTTTAGGTTGGTTCTCTTTTGAAGGTGACAGCATTTCTGGAAGACATATATAGAGAAGAAATTTTGAGTTTATGTGCCATTCATCGACATAAACAGAAAGGTAGGACAATGTGCAGACCCAGAATGCAGCAACTGTATTCATTTATTGAACGGATTGAATACACTTGACAATTAAATACACAAGAGAATTCAATATAGGTGTTGATTTCATTTGTGTATAAGAACAAGTCTTGACAGATGAAAACTGTTTAGTTAGTTAACATTTCTAGAACAGGATTCTAAAGAAAAGGAGCACAGGATCAACATAATTCCTGCAAGGGAAAATCTCTGCAGGGCAGGTTTTAAATACATAAACACTTCTTCAGGTTCAGAACATAAACAACACTCTGCAGAGAAGGGGAGGCTATTTTCACCTTCAAATGGAAAAAGGTAAAAATGCAGGAGTAATCTCCCAGAAGGGGTGTGTGTGCACACATATATATTTATATATATATATATATATGTATTAATTTCTAATGTGCAAGGGAAAAATGAAGAAAGATTGAGAGGTAAGTTTGACTCTTCTTCTGCAGGACCAACAGGATCAATGACTAATCATTAGAAAGGCATTTACACCAAAATCAAAGAAAATTCTCTGTTCTCTGTCCTTCAGGCCAAAACTACCCTCTTATACAGTGTTTAATGCAGACTACAAGTATGAATAAGGGAAAGGAAGCAAAATATTTACTTGCAGGAACCAGCCATTTCTTAAGTATATATGTTTTACATGAACTATTTGAAAATTCTAAGTTGCACATTTCATCTTACAATAAGAAGTGAAAAAAGAAAAAATAATTTCCATACCCACCATGATGAAATTCACATGCATGTGATATGCAACTAAGAATATTTACCCTTCTTTGACAACTGAGGTAGACTGACTGGTTCATTTTCTGATTCTCCACTGTTTGGGTTCTCACCTGATGAAGTTGAATTAAATGGATTTCTCCTTTGCTAAAAAAAATAATATTAACAAAAAAGACATTATAACTGGAGTCAAAATATTATACTAAATATGGCAAAATAAAAGAAATGGCAAAATAAAGTGCAGCAATTTATTCTCCCTCACTACCCTGTCAGCAAGGAGGCTAAAAGCATGCTTCTCATACAGGCTACACGACAAGAAGTTTAAACAATTAAAACTAGTGAACTATCAAAAATGACAGGAGTAGCCCAACCCTACTCTTTTTGAAGTCACCAACAGCAGACATAGGCCCATACTTAACGACCCTTCAGAATCACAAGTTGTTGTGAACTAGGCAGTCTTCTCTCTACTTCTATGCCTTTAGAGATATTGGAAGGGAACAAGACAATTCTTTTCCATGGTTGAGGAGGCAGGAAACAAAGTCAAAACATACCCAGCCACTGATTATATTTATAATAGGACTTTAACATTGAACTTCTCGTGGTTTCCCGTATCTCACTTCAAGACCAAACATATTCAATTTTTCTAATTTATTATCTTTCTCCCTCGATTCTCTAATTATCTTTACCACTGAGAAACACACAAATTGTAAAATATAACTTTTGCTATATTCACTATATCATACCTTTACTGGCGAGACTGTTGCCTTCCCAGATTGTCTCTGTGGTTTGTCTAACACAGAGGCTGTTGTTTTAGAACTGCAAGGAAAGAATATATAATATCGTCAGCAGCCACGACATTAAGTCTAAACCATTCCCCCATCATCTTTATTTTCAGTGCCAATATAGCATATTTTTCCATTCAGTCTGTTTTCACCGTATTTAGAAGCAGGCTTCCCTCTTTCCATAGCAAGGGGATATTCTTGCTGCTTTCCTTGCAAAAATATCTTTGCTCCCCCCCAAAAAAAATCAATATAATTACTGCCTGATAGAAAAGAATTCATCTTTCTGGTATCTTTTAGTCTTTTAATTGAAATAAAGCCATTCCCCAAATCAGATCAATATTAACATCTCTGTCTTTTTCATACACTAGTACTTCTAGGGCTGGAGTTTATGTGGAGGAAAATGCTAAAATCTGATGAAAATAAGGAGTTTTGAAAACTATCCAAGCCAGAAAAACAAGACAAAACAAAACAAAAACAGAACAACATCACTACAACTATGCCAAAGAAGAGATATGCCACAAAAACTGTTATATCCCCTCAGTGGTACACATTATATACTCCTTCAATTAAGATGCCAGCAAACCACAGGTTTTATAAATAAGAAATTCAGTTATTAATTGTGATCCTAACCAAGCCCATTCCCCAAAACTTTTAGATGTGGATGTTAGATGTGGATTTAAATACAGTTTTCATATAGTGAAAAAATATATATATATATATTTATAAATCCAGGATTATCCATTCATCACATTCAGTCTACTAACTTCATATAGAACAACGCTGGCATTAATCAACTTACTTGATTATGCTTTTTGGGGTGAGGGGAACAGGATGAGGCAGGAAAAGGGAATATTCTCCAGGTAAGAAATATGATCTCAGGCTAGGAAGGAAAGCAACTAGTATGTGGGGTTTTTTCCCAGTATAGTTGTACAAGGAGACTGATACTGAATACTTTGTTGGTCAACAATCTTTGGCAGTGATGAAAACACTTTTGGCTATTGATTAGTAAGTAGCAGAGCCACGAGGTAACGATTCCGAGGGCACATGTGGTATGAAGAAAAGAGAAGACAGCTCCCAGATCTTATGAAGCTCCAGATCCAGACAGGAGCCTCCTCCTCCCAAGGAAAAGTGTCACTCTGCCCTGCCAGGGAGGGGAAAACTTCCCCGGCTCCTCCAGGTTTCAGCACGTAGCCTCTCAAGTGGGAAAGAACCGGCTGGCAGCTGCCCTTGAAAGGCCACTAGCCCCTGCACCAAGTGTGTCCCAGAAGTGACATTGCTCCCACTTTACAAGTGGAAAAACATAATTACAGAGGAGATGTGAGCATCTAGTAAAATAAGCTGCTTGAACACAAAGCTACTAAAAAAATACAATGCTGCTCTGAGCTATAAACTTCTCTCTTTCTTGAGTTCAACATGAACTACATAAAATATATCTCTACCAACTTGATCTTGAAATGGAAACCGTTTCATAGGTTAACAAGGGAAACTCCTCATATATTAACAGTAATATACATATACATTATATACATGTGTGTGCACATACATATACACCTATGCATGCACTCTATACACACACACACACACCAGTTAGAGCAGATGATTTTTTTTTCTTGTCTACTCCTAAAAATCTTCTCTCATTCTCCAAGAGCTCAGTATTGCTCTAATACTCTTTAATCCTGAAAATACCCACATTTAAAGAGTCTCTGTTCTGCTTAGCTGGGGTTTGGGGTTCTGTCTGTGTGAGCATTTGCGAACTCCTGCACCATTCTGTGTCTTATCGGCACCATTATCTCCACAGGTCAAACATGATTTTTTAGGTCTAGGTTATGAGCACTGCAACCCTTCCCTTATTCTAAACAACAGAAATGCTGTTAGGTATTCTGTGCTGCGAGAAACTGATAAGATGTTCTTTGGTGTATAGTTTCTACAGGTGGGGCAGCAATTTTTCAAATTCTCATTAAATGCACACAATCCTCTAATACTTTAATACAATGATTCTTCAAATTTATCACAGAAGCATTAGCGAGCTGCTACTTTGGCATCATATATCGATGATCCCACTCTAAAGAAAGCATAGGCTAGAAAAAAATCAAGATCTTGAGGCTGAGTTTCACAACAAAAGGCGTGAAATAAGGGATTTACCCTTAGCCACAGAGATGAGAAAATAGCACCAAATTCCCCAATGTGCTGCACTGACATGGCCAGTCAGAGAGAGCGCATTGAGCCGAGCTAACAGCACTGACACACGAAGGAATTAACTGCTCTGCAATTTGGCAAGACCAAGTTTGGAGAGAGACAACATGCAGACACCCAATGCAGGGAATTAAAAAGAAAAACAAGAAAACGACACACTATGAATCATAATCTGAGAGGCAAAAACCCCTCCAACACTGGCCTTTTTTGAGATGCAGCTTGTAGACGGATGATATCACTGAACAGAGGCAATATTGACAGTGTGAGTCACACCGTGAAACTTGTTCTGTGCCAGGTTACACCTTCAAAGACGCTCCACACACCCAGCCCGTGAAGGCTGTGGCATGTAAGAAAAGCATCACGGGGGATGTAATTCAATGAAAAAAATTGCTCATAGCTTCATTACTGGAGTTAGATAGTTTGGGGTGTGGGGCTGAAGATAACTGTCCTCACTTCAGGATGATAATTGTGGGCTGATTTTTGTTGGGCCTCAGGTAACACCCTGACTTGATAGCAGCTGATAGGCCACAAAGCTGAATTTGACCTCAGCAGTTCACAGGCACAAGTCTCCTACCAGCACTGCACTGTTTTCCCTTTCAGTGAGAACTGTTTTAAGAACAGGATGCAAAGCAAACAGTATCTAGGCAATTTGCTGTCACCTACCTTCTGGGCCCAGTCCTGAGGTCCATCTCTTTGGCTCAGGCGAAGCCTGCAGGCCAGTGCAGATCAGAAGCCCATTCTCAAGGGTAGGAGGGGAAATAAAACAAAATGAACACTTACCACCCTACAAACCTATCCATACATTAACACTTGAAAATCCCAAGTGTGTGAACTACCTGCACAATTTGCACACTGAAAACTCTTAGCTCGCTTTATGCGATGGGAAATTCCACAATGATGCTCACGTTCACCTTTTTAGTTCTAGTCATGTCAAAACTATTGCTTTTCAAGAGGAAGAGTCAAGAGAAACAATTCCTTGCAGCTCTGCTGTCCTAAAGACTGAACCAAACACTTGTAATAGCTGAATCAAAGTATTTAATGGCTGGGGTTTGCCTTCCCCCCTGCCTGGTGGGGCTCTTGCTTTCCTGCACGCTGTGTTTCCCCTCGGCTCCTTAGCAGCTCCTGCCATTACAGACAGGCATGTAGCCATGTCAGCCTAACATATGGAAAACAGAAAAATAGTATTTAGAAGCATATGGTCTCTCCTGCAATTTTCCACATAAAATATTGCATAAGCTAATCTTACTTATAGAGAAACAAACCCTGGCTGAAGTCATAAGCAATGAAATGTACATAGTGCTACCACATTTACTTGCTCAGGCTTTGCACATTTCAGAAGCTAAAAATCAGAGACTTCTAATTAAGTATTGATGCACAGTGAATGCAAATAATAGTGTCTGGTCCACATACTGCAGGTGCCTTTCTAAGTTCCACCTCCAACTATCCACCCTCAACCTTCATTATAAACCCTCACTTGAGCAGGAACACCTTGAAATACTGGTTGGAGCCTGAGCATACACAGGCTGAGGAACTTCTGGCGTATTTTGGAACAAAGGCCAGAGATTGTCCTGGACAATAATTATTATGCTTCACATGGGATTGGGGTTGTGACCTGAAACAGTCCTCAAATCATCTCAAGCTAAAGACCATGATCAAGTTGATGACCTTCAGACCACATTGTCTGCATTTGGCAAAACAGAGAAAGGAGAGAGACAAAAAAAAGAAAGAAAGAAAAAAAGCCAGTCTGTATTTTCATAATGCTTTCTCAGAAGCACAGACTTGATCAACTTGTTCTTAAACCTCATCATTTTATATTTTTTGTGATGAGCAGTTGTCCAAAAGTCTCTTACTACTTTATCAATCACATATAATCTGTTGTGTTGCGATAGAAGGAGTATCCTTATTAGGAGTGTCCTTATTTTAGAGTATCATTTTCTTCCTGCAGTGTCCAAGATAGCATGTAAAACACTAAAAATATTAATTTTAAATTAAAGAGCAGCATGTCTTTTGCTGCTTATAAATAAATAATTCAGTCTTCTGAATTATTATATGCTATCTTCTGAAGGTAAAAAACAGCTGTTGAAAACTACATTCAGGAACTGTAGCAGCATTATTGGCCAGCATTTTTGGGATGGCCTTAAGGTTCTTCATGTGATGAGCAACTTCAATAAGGAAGGCCAGTCTGTATTTTCATAATGCTTTCTCAGAAGCACAGACTTGATCAACTTGTTCTTAGACCTCATCATTTTATATTTTTTGTGATGAGCAGTTGTCCAAAAGTCTCTTACTACTTTATCAATCACACATAATCTGTTGTGTTGCGATAGAAGGAGTATCCTTATTAGGAGTGTCCTTATTTTAGAGTATCATTTTATTCTTGCAGTGTCCAAGATAGCATGTAAAACACTAAAAATATTAATTTTAAAGAGAAGCATGTCTTTTGCTGCTTATAAATAAATAATTCAGTCTTCTGAATTATTATATGCTATCTTCTGAAGGTAAAAAACAGCTGTTGAAAACTACATTCAGGAACTGTAGCAGCATTATTGGCCAGCATTTTTGGGATGGCCTTAAGGTTCTTCATGTGATGAGCAACTTCAATCATCACTACAGAACAACTTCATCCTTTTGGGCAGACTGTAACAAAGGAGTTTTTAAGTTTGATCTTTTTCAACAAGATTTTACATGTTGGTAAGAACCTTCTGAGTTCACTCGAAATGGTATGTAAAGGAGTAAAGACCAGCAAGGCAAGCCACATTTATTAAGAATTACACCAACCTTTTGTGGCAGGCATTGTGAGGGTGGGCGCTCAGCTTGCAGACCAGGAAAGCTAAAGAAGGGGCTGCTACAGGGTTTTGCACAAATGCATAGCAGGAGACAGGCTTTGCTGCAAAGAAAAACAGGTGACGCACAGAGAAGGGCTTAGGAGACAGGCAGGAAAGTGAAAGGTTACAGAGCAACAGCACAACCAGAAGAAAGACAGTCATCCTAAAATGTAACTCTGGCTCTCAGAGCACAAAGAGTAGCAATTTTATTACACGCTGGCCCCCATTCCATTGCTTTCCTGTTACCTCAAACTAGGAGATTATCACTTTTCTTTTCAAGTGCAGGTTTTCTGAAGGATTTTCATACTGTCAGATGAATTACCATATGTAAGCATTTTAAATAGAAAATCTCTCCCTTTCCCTCAGAAATAAATTCAGTACATTTCTGATCAAAATGGAGCTGTTATGGATGTTTATAGACTCGAGAGAGAAGGATTTAATATAGAATCCTCTTCAGTTCAGAAACTACTTCTCATTCAGCTTTCCTGCAACAACTAGATCCATTCAGTCACTCTTGAAGACTATCTAGCATCACTCTGAAAGGAAGCTTCTCTCTTGCAGACATTTCTTTTTCTTGGTAGAACCAGATTTATTTTCCCTCAAATACCTAATGGTTCTGAATCTTCCCACAAGCTTAAAGCTCAGGCTGAATTAATGGTCTGTTCTCATGGAGTGACTGAATGAAGGGATGCAGAAGTTATTGCCCCCATATTACAACTGCAAAGGACTCAAGGCAGACAGCAGTTCAAAGCAGAAAATCCTGGTCTCATTTCTGGAGGCAGACCACCCTGTGACACAAGAATATGTTTGGGACCGTTCTACACACCTTTAGCAACTTTTTCCTTGTAAATAGAAGTCAAAGATAACTGCATTCAAACACAGAACAATTAGCAATGCATACCAAGGAAATATTTGGAGCTCTTCGAAATCAGAAGAGAAGACAGTATTTTGGAAGGAACACACAGTTCCTAAACTTCACCAGTCCTGATGTTCACATGCCAACTCTGACAAAGCAGACAGCTTACCTTGAACTAGATTTCATTTCTTCTTCCTGATGTTCCACAACATCATATAGTTTTGGTTGTACAAAGACTTCTTTGTTGACATTGCTCACCCAGCTGTTCTTTGCTTTGTTTGATTTGTTCTGACTCACTTCAGCTAAAACATAAAACAAGAATATAGTTGTCTCCTATAAGCTCACATAGTACTACACGACAACAAATACAATTATTTACATTCTGTCCTACAACTATTTCGTTTCATACGACCACTCAGAGTCACAATCTGATTTCTGAAGAATATTTTTTTTTACTCCTAGAGATGTTGCATACTACTGTAAATACTTCATGATACTGCTCCAGGTACAACATTGGCTACCCATAACTGCAAGCAAAAATATTTTGATAATTAACGAGTCATCAGAACCTAACAACTGTGCAGAGAACATACCAGCACGCTCCTTTGTTTAAGCAACAAGGCTGGGAGTAATTATCATTCCATCATAGTATGGCTTTAGGTATTTTCCTCTAAGCTATACCTATTGCTGTACAATCTAAGGCAAACACTAGCTAGAATTTTACAGCTGATTTTCATAGCCTTTAATATCAGTAACTGGCAAAACCACAAACACACCCGTAACCACCTGTATTTCTTTTCATTTCAGGCCTTTTCTTGCTAAGTTAAAATGCCCAAACCTCCACATAGTAATCTCAACCTGCACAAACTACCATTATGAAAACAGCTCCAGTTGCCAGAACCCTAGGCACATAAGTTATGATTATAACTACTAGCTCTAGTTAATGGTGCTTACACCTGAAATCCATCTGAGGACTCAGAGGTTCAAACTGAACACCCAGAGTCTGGAAGATGCATCTTGAAGAGTGATTTCTCATTCCTATGTTTCGAGGTAACACAAAGGGCCTCAGGACTGAAAATGGGAATGGGATCCAGGACTGGAAGGCGCTTTTAGTTCAATGTACAAACATAAGACAGTCCCTCCTATTAGTAGTCATCACCCTAAATTCTCTCTTTGTACATAGGATTGGGGAACACTATAAAATACCCAATAAAACACTCCTTTGTATTTTTTTGCTGTTGTTGTTCTTAGGGCTACTTTCCTTGGAAATATTTAAAAGTTGTCTGGACACAATCCTGGACAACGTGCTCTAGGCGCCTCTGCTTGAGCAGGGGGGCTTGGACTCCAGAGGTCCTCTCCAGTCTCAGCCATCCTGTGATTCTGTGATAATTCTTTTGTACCTCATAGGCAACGATGTCTGACTAAGAGCATCATCACCATGATCTCCACGCCAGCCTTTCTAAAGCAAAACAGAAAAAACACTAAAAGCAAAAACATAAGGAAAAACATACCAATTGTGGTGGGCTTCCTCCGCATGGAAGCTCTGATAATATCTGCTCCATGGATCTTGTCTCGGTGCCTCTTTGACTTTGCTTCATAAAACCACTGTCCACTCATGTTCTTTAGCTGGACATCGTCTTTGATTTTTTCTGGTAAATGTCTGGGGAGAAAAAGAAAAAGAAAATAAAAAAGGATTGCTAGACTCTACTTATTTGTATGAACAAAAGTCTGCAAAGGGAAATGCTAAATCTGCTATACATATACAGGTTCACATAGTATACTGCAAGCAAGATAATAGAGGTAAGGGGAAGAAAAACCTTTTTTTTTTTTTTTTTTTGCTGCTTCATCCTTCTACATTTTTTAATACACTCTCCAAACTGTCTCTTTTAGAAATCAGGAGACGGGATCATAATCAAAATGTTTAGGTGTAAGTAGGGCATTTATCATGCTTAAAAGGAAAAATCTGAATTTTGCCTCTGAATTTTGTGACAGTGACAGACTCTCCACAATCTGTTGAGTTGACAGTTTCTGCTTTAAATACAGCACATAGTGATATTCTTACTCATCTGAACTGAAATTAAATTTAAGCATATTCAAGTAGGTTTTTACAAAAAGGCACCTCAAGCCACACACTAACTGCTCTCTTTGGCTTCAGGCCTGACCCTTTGCTTCTCATTCAGACAGCTGAATTTGCTCCAGAGAAACCAGCAGCTGCCCTCACTTCTGTGATTCACATATAGTTGTTGCTTAACTAATGTTTTTGTAGTTGAAAAGCCATGTTGATAATACAAGGTGTTCTCTTAAAAAATTGTGCATCTTTCTAAAATAGGGAATCTGAGTTCCTCACCAGTGCTCTTCAGCTCTTCAGTTATCTTCTGAACCAGGACCAAGATTCAACTTCTCAGTAGACACAACCCCCCTCTCACAAGGCTGTGCTAAATGGGCACAGTCTTTTCTTCTGCAACTTGCTTTAGCATCATCCAAATGCTGACTCTTCCTACAGCCCAGGATCTCTGAGCTGTTCCACTGCTCTACTCTGGAAACACTTAGAGATTTTTGTAGGGCTGCCTTGCCGTGTTATTTACATCCTCTGATCCGTTACTCCTTGTATTTAATTATGGTAGATTACAGTGACACTGAGCTGGGGAGGAAATAGCATCAACCCTACGTCAGTTACTCTAACTCCCCCAAAATATGTTTTGTTTTCAACCTCTCAATCTGATATAACTCTAGAGAAGCCTCCAGTAACTACAAATCTCGACTTCTTGCCCCTGAAGGCCGAGATGCTTCTTCACAGCATAAGAAATCTATGTTAAAATTAAGAGCAGGGTTGTCTTGCGGCTCAGAAGATGCATTTTCAGGCTGTCTCTCTCACACACACACCTCTCAAAGTGCTCTGGGCAGATGGTGCCACACTTTCCATATGCTACCTAAAAGTCTGTATGTGTCCACAGGTCACAAGGGAAGACTGTATCACTCCAAGAAAGTAAAAGATTATACAGTTAATTAATCTACAGATTTCCATCACGAGCCCTGCAGCTACGTAGGAATTTAAATTCAGGCTTCAAGGTCACTCTGTCTTTATGAACCATGCTTTATGGAGCGAGGAGCTGCTGCGGGCAGTTTGGGAGGTTGCTTTCTTTCCTTATTAGGGCACATAAGTCAGACATCTGCCTAACATATGGCCTGGAGACCAACCTACAGACTAGTAAAGTAAATACAGAGATTTGGAGAGTACTTCACAATCAGAAATGCAGTCAGGCTTCATCTGCCTTCTCCATTCATGACTCTTCCTTCAGCAGACAAGCTAATAACACAGCCCAAAGGAGAATGAAAAGCAATTCTACAAATTACTTAGAGGCTTTGAAGCTAACTGCTGTCCACATTGCTAAGTGATCATGCTGTCTTCTTTAGAATAAGGACTACAACTTGAATACTTCAACTTCTCCTCCAAAGTAACTGTCAACAAACAGTTTTTAGGTATAAAACAAGTTCCCTGTCTCAAATCAGCTACAGGGAGTTGAGGTTGCCAAGAGCTGAGGTCATCGCTGGCATTTTTGGTGCCAAGATTCAACGGTCCGTAACATACTAGACGACTTAGAATTTAATCCTCCCTCCTGCTTGTAACGCTGTGCTTCTCCAAGAGCCAAAGCAGACTCCTTCCATCTGCTGCAGGTGCTCTGAGTTGAAGAGGGGACACAGCAGGAGCTTCCTTCTACCCTTAAGCAAATTCATTACTCAGCTATGAGCTAGCTCCTCCATGTTATGAACAGAGCCAGCAGGTAACATGACATGCAAGAACTTTTACACAGCTGATTGCTTCTACCGTTCACCCTCTTTCCCATATGTTATTTGCCTTCTCAGAACAGATGCTCCTTAAGGCCAGGGCCTGGCTTTTCAGCTATTTGCACAGCCCCCAGGCCAGCAGAGCTCTGCCTCCAGCAAGTGCTTCGGGGCAGTATGACAAGCAATGCCAAGGGAGGTTCTCAAGTGGGAAGGTACTGAGTCACAGGAGAGGTATTCAATGTCCTCCCCTTGTTTGACTGAGCCCTTTTAGCCCAGATACTGCTAACTTTTCGCCTTTGTATTCAGTCACTGAAACTAGGCTGCGCTGGAGACCTTTGCAAGTCAACTCAGCAGATGGACAGATCATGGTGGAAGCAGCTGGCTCAGACCACAAGGACCACAACCTCTCAGCACAGTCAGACTGTTCACCTGCTGTCCGATCCTCCGATCTGCTGCTGATAAACACAGCAGGAAAAAGCAGAAGCCAGCGTACCTCATCTCCACCAGCTCAGCAGGCCTCTAGAAGTCAACAGAAAATTAGGCTTGCCAACACAGGCAGAAATTACATCTGTGCTTATCCAGGATTCTCCCAAGTGACCAGTCTGACCAAGAGAGCTTGTATTTTAAGAAGTGACAAGAGCTCACTGCAGCTGACTTGCAAACTGCTTCTTCTGCCCTCCCTTCTCACTTTGACACCTGACCTTTGCTAGTCTGGCTTACAGCTCTTCTCCTCAAGAGGAGCATTTAGCTTCTTTTGAGGAGCTAAGAACAACATCAACATTTTAGCTATTCCCAGACTTTCCCCAGACACAAATAAGAGAAGACAGATTTCCATTATCAGAAAACACCGAGCTATTAGCCCTAGCTCTTTTGTTTTGCAGAAACAGCTGCTGAGATTAAATGTGAATCTTTCCCGTGCTGTTTGAATTCTCAAATTCTCTGAGCAGGCACCAGCAGAGGTACCAAACTGAACAGTGTGGCCAAGTTTTGCTGCTAGGCATTAGATTGTGGTTTACCTCGAAAGGCACCGTGCAGAAGTCAGACTGTAGCCACTCTTTTCCACTGCTGCCTGGGCCTCCCAGCATTTAACGGGACCAGAAGCCAACGGCGGATTCTGCGCCAGCAATTCCAGGCAACCGAATGCCCAGCCAAACTGCCACTGCACTATTTGCTCTCAGCCACAAGCAAACTAGTAGGCATCCAGTGTACGATTTAGATTGCAGGCTCCGTTTGCACAGTTTGCAATTAGGAAAAATGTAATCATGGCTTTATATATGAAGTAAGCACCTATTCTGGAGCCCCCAAGAGGCCTGTTAAAATATCCATTACCCTAAGCTGATGTTATAGTAAAGCCAGTGCTTCTTTCTTCTAGAGGAATGAAAAACTCGAGAAAGTGAGGGTGCACTCTTAAAAAATTGACTCCAAAATCCTCTTTTAAATAAGCCTGGAGTTCTCCCTTTACTTAATATGTTGTTTCCAATGTGTCTCAGAGAAGCATTTTTGATGTGGAGAAGACAAACCTTTCACCTAAGTACATGCAGTGTCACCCTGAAGATGCAAAACAACCGTGAGCCGCTCTGCAGGCAAACAAAAACCCCACGGATACCAACGGAGCCAGGGAGCTGCCCGCCTCGGGAAGGGCTGATAAGCAGCAGCATCACATGCACCCGAGCGAGGCACGAAATCTGCTCCTGCATCTAACCAGGCCGTGTAAACCTTTCTATCAGCAAACCCACAGCTTATCTTGTGCTCCGGAGGCTGCTGTGATAGCTGCTCTGAAGGCAAACTAACACTGGCTTCTGTTTTTTGTTTTTTTTTTCCCTCCTTTTCAGTGACTCTCAATTCCTTCCTCTTTACCCACCTTTACTCAAAGCTCTCATTATAAACCACCACAGAATTAGTAGGATGTGACAGTCGACAATTTAGCAACTTGTCATTCCCTTATTCCTCAATGAATAGCTTAAACTGGGCTTTGCAGACAGGAGAGTCTGTGCCATGCTGAGACTTCATGTAGCAAGTTAAGAACAACTTAAATGAATCCATGTTTGGCTGGACGAAACGGGATTTATTAGTGTTTCAGGTACACAGCTCTAAAAATAAGAAAAACTACCTTAGTGGCTGGTGGCAAAATGCAAACTTTATTAAAGCCTGATATAGCCACCCTATAATTGCACATAATATATATATAAGTGCATAAATGCACTTCAAAGACTTCTTTCCTGCAAATGAAATGCCAAATAGGTGAGGAAGAGGCGGGAGAGACAGACTTTTGAGGAGTTTATCCTCACTTTTATTTACTGCAAACATAATAAAACCCAAACTAGCACAAGGTAGACAAAGGATGTAGGTTTGGGATCACCTTCCAGATATCCACAAACAAGATAAAGCTTCTGTAGTACCACAGTCCTGCAAGAACAGGTGTA